TATTAAATTTTACAAAAAGAATACAAAGGGAAAAGAGAACTTCCTATATATCTAGAAAGAAGAGGCTCCTTGGAAGTATGAGCCACAGGATAGGAAAGTCCCTTCTAACCAGATAGGATTTCATTGAATAGGATTCATCAGGAACCTTGAGTATGACCCCAAGAAGCTGGGGACTATACTTGTGCCCTAATCATCAGCTCTGAGCTCAATCCAGATGACCTGGACCCACGTGGGCCATGGTGGGAAGGCAGTTCACGCTTCTAAGACAGTTATGTGGTTGACAGAGCAGGAGAGGAAGAGAAAGGACAAAAAGGGAAAATAACCACAAAGCAATAGGCTGTTGGACTCAGAGAGATGTCTGACGTGAGCTCCTCATGCAAGGGCCAACCAGCCGGAGGAAATTTTGTAGCAACTCCAGCCCCTGGGCTTACGGGCAGACAGGGAGGGAAAGAAGAAGAACTCAAGTGTTGATTGACAATCTATCCCAAGCCCTTTCCACTGTGCCAAGAGGGAAGCGGGGAGCATCACCTTACCTGTATCAGCAAACGGGTGCTGCTGTGATAGGTAAACAGGGTGGCCGAGGTCCAGCTTCCAGCAGCCGTTGTTCCCTGGGCTGCTGCTGGTTCAACAAGTGGTGCCTGGTTTTTGACTGATTTCCCTTCTCAGAAGTCACGTGCTTCCTGTCCCAGCTCTGACCTCATCCTCACATCACTTTCTGTTTGTTATCTCTGGTTTTAAGCCCTGGTAAATGCATACCGGGGCTTCCCAGGTGGCTCACTGCTTAAGGATCCGCCTGCCGCATGTGGGAGCCGATTCCTGAGTCAGGAAGATCCCCTGGAGAATGAAATGACACCCCACTCCAGTGTTCTTGCCTGGGAAATCCCAAGGACAGAGAAATCTGGCGGGGTATAGTGCATGGGGTCAACAAACAGTCGGACACGACTGAGCATGCATGCATGCAAGGGACCAAGGTAGTTGAGACCACAGATGCTGAAGATCCCCTAGTTGGGGATCTTAATCCCTCAGCCAGGAATTAAGCTCGGGTCACGGCGATGAAAGTGCTACTAACCACTGGACCAGCAGGAAATTCCCTCTGCACCCTTTTTTTTGATGTGTGGTTTCTGTGCTCCTGGGGGCCTTTGAGGAACGAGACAGAATCAGGATGAGCTGCCCTGCAGGAGGCTTGTCAACATCAGGGAGCAAAGTCTTCCCTGTATTTGACATGCCCAACCACCAAACACTTCTACTTACACCTAAGAACGATTGTTCTGAGATCTTTTCACATCTGCCACTTCACCTAACAATCAAAAAAACCCTCCCCTGGCAGAGTAGCTTTGTACCAAGAGGCAGAGTTTCAGAGCTGGGTGCTAGGCAGCCAGCTGGGCTCACCCACAAGCAGAGGTTTTGCTCTCACAGGCCTGCCCCTCAGCGCCTACCACTGAGAGTCCTGGCTTAGCAAAGACACAAATGAGGATGCATCTGGGACCAAGACAGGGCTTTCCTGGTGGCTGAGTGGTATAGAGTCCACCTGCCAATGCAGGAGATGCAGAAGGCTGTGGTTCGATCACTGGGGCAGAAAGATCCCCTGGAGGAGGGCATGGCAACCCATTCCAGTATTCTTGCCTGGAGAATCCCATGGGCAGAGAAGCCTGGGGGCTACAGTCCACGGGGGTGCAAAGAGACACGACTGAAGCGACTGAGCACCGCACAGACAGGACCAGGGGAAGGGAGAGTCTGATGCTGTGTCCCATTCCATGTGCACAATCCCCGGGTCTCCCTGGAGGGTCAACAGGAGGAGGAGACGGAGCCCCAGGAGGAGGCCCTCTGGTTTTCCACCACCACTACCTGCCCTGCCCGATGCCTGCCCTGGGCCCCCTGCTTCCCTGGCCAGGCACTCTCCCTCCCCTCCCCTTCACCAACCCTGCTTGCAGGACACGACTACGGTTCAGCACCACCATCCAGCATCTGAGAAAAGGGGAGCTTCCATGAGGCTGGAGGTGTGGGTGCTGTCAGGGCCTTACCCTGGGGTTGAAAGAGGTAGCCAGGGGCCAGGGGTGGTGTGGCGAGACCTGTGGGTGAATTGCTGATGTCACCCCAGGAACTCTGATGGGGGATCTCTTTTCTCTTCTCCATCTCAGCAGAGCCATGCCCCCGCCCCCACCCACTTGTGCCACGGGAACTGTGGGTGCAGATGTATCCCCAGCTTCAGGTAGGGACCGGGTGGGTGGTCAGCAGGGCCTAGGCCAGGGGATAGATCGGAATGCTGGAAGGCCATGTGCCTTGGGGCGGTAGGGGGTGGTCTTATCATCACCACAGACAAGGGGGTTCTGTCCCCTTAACTTTTCTTCCTTGGGGTCCACTGAGGCAGGGGTAGTCTCGGTGAGGCTGCTTCTCCCCCCAGACTACTGATAGGTTACAGTGAACGGTGTCAGACTCATGATCTCCAAAGAAGATTTAGCTTAAGGACCAGAGACCCGGCTTAATCACTCAAGAGGTTTTGTGTAGCAGAGTTTTATTAAAGTATGAAAAGGACAGAGAAAGCTTCTGACCTAGACATCAGAAGGGAACGGAAAGTGCCCCCCTCGCTAGTGTTAGCAAGGGAGTTATATACTTTTTAAATTAGTTATTACAATAAATCAAAAGAATGTCTTTAGGTTGTGAAGATCTTACTAGACCCACTCCCGTAATTTACTTTTTTTAAGATAACAGGATTAGCCTGAAGGTTTTCAGGAGGGAAAAACTGCCCTCAAGCAGGATACATTGTTGTTATATAATCCTCAGTACACAGTTTAAACTGAGTTGTTTGCTGTAATCAGCAGTTCCTCAGGTTAAAGAAAACAACGTTTTATGTGACTAAGGGCTTCCCTTATAGCTCAGTTGGGAAAGAATCTCCCTGCAATGCAGGAGACCCGGGTGCAATCCCTGGGTTAGGAAGATCCCCTGGAGAAGGAAATGGCAACCCATTCCAGTATTCTTGCTTCTTGCATAGAGGAATCTCAGGAACAGAGGAGCCTGGCAGGCTACAGTCCATGGGGTCGCAAGAGTCGGACACGACTTAGCGACTAAACCAGTAACACCATGTGACTAAGAAAAAAAGATGTTTGTTCTTTCCTCCTCCTTGAGAATTCCAGGTCCCTTTCTCCTCCCTGGGGACCCCAGACTTCTTATCAAGCTGCCTAGGAACTGACTCTCTCACTACTACGATGCTGAGAGTCTCAAGACATGAAAACAGACATCAGCCCTGGAGCCCGCACCAGCTTCATCACGGAACTGCAAACAGCCCTGGAGCCCCCATGTCCCTCTCATGCCGAACAGCCCCTTTCTACACCTGGCAACCCTTCTTACCCTCCCATCTCCCACCAGGCCCTCTCCCCGGGGTGAATGAGTCCCATCTCCACCACACGGAGGCCTTAAACCAACCTGATCTCTGATCCAGGTGAGAGACCCTTAGGGCCCCGTCCAGGCCCCAGAAGCCACAAATGCCAACCCTGTCCCGTTGATTGCTGCTGCGGCTGGCAGAGGCCTGGGAGACGGAGCCCTCCCTCGACCTCCTCCCCTTACCCTCTCTCTGGATGACCAGGACTGCGGCGTCTCCATTTAGCCCAGAACTGGAGGTAAGAGGCGAGGACTGCTTTTGTTTCCATGGCTCTCCGAAGGCCCAGAGTGGTGGGGGAGGCCTGGCGGGGAGGTTCCCGGAGCCCAGCCACTGGGCCCCCACACTCACCCCTGGTGCTGGCTCTGTTGGCAGAAGAGAGAAGCCAGAGCCACGTCCTGGAGGGCCACGTGGGAACAAAGTGTCTCTCTGCCCCTCTGGGCCAGGCGGGTCTCCCCGCCCTCCGTCAGGAGGAAGCGGCCTCTCAGGGTCCCATGAGGCTGGGTGCTTGGCGCCCGGGCCGGTCGGCCTGGGGGCACGCCAGGGCCTGGGTTTGCTGGGGCTCCGGAAGGCCTCCGAAGGAGAGGGCGGAGGGGGCAGAGGAGACGTTTGGAGACAGAAGTTCAGCCAGGCCTGGTGGCTCCCCTTCCTGGCCATTCCCAGCAGGAGACACGAAGGCACAGGGTTAAGTCCAGGTGTTTGTATTCAGGCTGCTTGCCTTGGTCCCCCAGCCAGGCCTGGACCGCACCCTAAGGAGCCACAGTGAGTTCCCGTGGCCGCCGTGCCAGTGGCCACGCCGCTCATAGAGGCGGTGCCCGGTGGCTCCGTCTCAGCCTCTTCTTAGCGGCGTGCACTCAGTTGTGACGTGTCCGCCACCAGTACCGGTACAGGAGGACGGATGTCACCAACAAGAGCAGCAGGACTACCACGATCGTGATGATGGTCCCCATCTGGTTGTTGGGCACGGGCTCTGGGGAGAGAAGCGGTACAGGTCACACAGGCCTCTGGTCCCAGGTGCCAGGCTCAAGGGAGAACAGGCATCCACCTGTCACCCACCCACCCACCCCGGTCATCCTGCTGTCACTCGGCATTGCAGGTATGAGTGGCAAAAGGTGTTATCACTAGAGGGACGAGGACCGGGGTTCAGGCCACCAGCCTCTGTGAGACCATGAGGGCAGATGGACTCAGATGGTCCCCTTGCCATGGGCTGCCAGACCTCATGGCCTGGACCGTGGTGTGTCCAGGACAAGCCCCTCCCTGGGCAGAGATGAGGGAGCTTCAGCCAGACTCTCTGAAGACAAAGAGGATCTTCGCCATCTAGGGTCACAGAAGAGCAGGGCTCCAGGGGACCTTAGGGATCAGTCAGGTCATCTTTATCATTGCAGAGAGCGGTCAAGCCAAGAGAGACGAGCTTGACTTGGTTAAGGTCATCCAGCTCACTCTTGACCAAGCAACTAGTCAGAGTCCAAGCTAGGAACTCACCAGGAGCTCCAGAGAACCCCGGGGATCAAGCGTCGTTTCCCCGAGTGCCTCCCCTGAGCTGGCAGAGAGTGGGGCAAAGGCGTTCTCTTCCCCTAAGGGGCTGAGAGTAAATGCACCCCCTCCTGATCTGTGGGCTCCCCCTCACCTTTGACTTCAAGCCTCTGGGGATCTGAGACCCTGTGGACGAGGCCACCGCCGCGAGAGCGCAGGTCCATCTGGGCCTTGCATGAGAAGTTATAGAGGCCGTCTTCCCTGTGAGCTGTGGTGTTGTGGGTGACCACGGCATCTTGGGGGGAAAGTGTTGTCCACACAAAGGTCTGATTGCACAAGATCTCAGGACCACGGAGCAGGGTGACAATGAGGCATTCGAGGGGGGCCACAGCAGGGACCCTGCACTCGATGGTGAACAGTGTCCCTACGGCCACTGAGGTGGGCGACAGCGTCAGCAGCACTTGCTTTGGAGGGTCTGCAGCAAAGCAGAAAGGACGTCTGGTCTGGATGGGTGTGCATCTCCGCAGGCCCCACCCAGCCCAGACCATCCCCTGTGACCACCGTGTTCTCAGAACATGGGCTGGGGATGGAAAGAGGAAACAGTTGAGGGTGAAGGATGTACTGGGTGGTAGTTTTAGGGACATGATGACTTCTGCAATGGACAAGAATAGAGGTGCCCTGGTGTCTACAAAGAAAAGGTTCAGAATCTGTTCAATCAACTAGAAAGATAAAAGTCTGGACTGTGTCTCTTTCCTCTCCATAAATTCAATAGAAATTTCAAAAATTAAACAGTTGGATAGTTTTGTTGAGAGAGATTTAGAAGGGAGTACTCACTGGAATGAGGCCGTGAATTGTGAGATTATCAGAGGCGAGGGCAAGAGTCAGACCTGCCTTGGATTTCAGGATCAGATTTAAAACTATCTCTATCCCTTAGCTATTAAACTCCATGGTTCCCTGAGTTCCTGTTGTTTTTGTTTTTGTTTAAAAGATTTATTTCTTTGGTTGTTCCAGGTTTTAGTTGTGGTACGTGGGATCTAGTTCCCTGACCAGGGATCAAACCCGGGTCCCCTGCATTGGGAGTGCTGAGTCAGCCACTGGACCACCAAGACATCTCTCTGGGATCATTTTTGAACTAGAATACCTAGCCCCCATTACCCCAGGATAATTTGGTAGATTTAGGACATGTTTCTACTCATTTGATCACTGATTACAGTTCTGAGCGATACCCTGGGTGCCGAGCTTCCGAGAGAACCCCGGTCTCTCCATGGTCTCTGTGGCCCTTGGGCAGGTGTGTGTGTGTGTGTGTGTGCGTGATGGTCACACATTTGCAAAGGGCCCTCAGAGGGAGATAAGGACCTTCTCTCCAGGAGGTGAATGGGTTAGTGGAGAGTGTGCCAGCCCTCCTGATGGGGTCCCTGCTGCTTCTCACTGGATGCGGGGTGTTCTGGTGATGGGGGTGCTCCCCAGCTGGGAGGAGACTGTGGGAAACAACTTTTAGATTTGTTTAAAGATTGCTTGGATTGTTCCTTTCTGAGCAAATCTGAAAATCCTGGTTGCTGGCAGGGTTCAAGGGGGCCAGGTAAGGGTGTGAGCAGATTCTGAGCCTGTGGCCTGGGTCCAGGAGCCCAGGGAGGTGAGGGCCACAGGGGAGCATCCAGGAGCAGTGACAGAGCAGCTCTGGGCGGGTTTGCAGACACAGGCTCCGGTCTCGGGCAGCAGGGCCCCGTGGGCGACACTCACAGAACACGGCGATGTGGAAAACTTTCGTCTCCTGCTTGCCGCCGCAGGTGGAGCTACACAGGAGCTCCTCATCCTTGGAGATGTTGTAGACCTTGAACAGCTTCCACTGAGTCTGGCTCTCCAGGAGAGTCTTGTTTAGGGCTGTCTCCAGAACAAGTCTCTTGGGGTCCGTACAACTGGCAGTACAGTTAATGAACTGAAACTCTCCAGACCCCACCATCAGTTGCTCTGGCCCCTCGAACGCCTTCTCACCAGACCCTGGAAGGACAGAACACATTGGGCAGCAGACACCCCTGCTGCCCTGCCCGATGGGGCTGCCCACGATGGGCAGTCTGATCAAGGGGTGCCCTCTGCTCCTCTCTCCTTGTTCAGACATTACTGCCTCTGGTCTAGACCAAGGGGGATGCGCCCTAGTTGTCTCCCTGCCCCTGATGCTCGCCCAGCTGGTCCCCTCCAGGTGAGTCTTCCTCATGCACCTCTCCTATCCCCAAGAAGGTTGTATTCGAACTTGCCCCCCAGCCCAAATGACCCCTCCTCTGTGAAGACCTCCCTGAAGTGGAGGTGGATCGTGTCCTCTCAGGCCCCGTGTCCATGAGTTCGGCTCCTCCCTCACTCCTTCCCTCTCTTCTGCAAATCCTTGTAGAACACCGGCTGCAAGGCAGGCACTGTTCTGGGCTCTGAGACGGAAGAAGCTCAAAGTTGGCCCTTGTGGAGCTCGCACTGCTGCGAGGGACACAGAGTAACAAACTAGGGAACTAGCCAGCCTGTCAGTTGGCACGAAGTGCCTGGGAAAGGAAATAGGGAGTGGGGCGGGGCTGCCACGTAATACTGTGCTCTGGACAGGTTTCATGGAAACACTGACATTTGAGGAAAGGAGGAAGGAGATGGGGGCAGGGGGCTTGGCTGCCAGGTTTCTGCAGAGGGCAGAAAACCACTAGCGCCAAGACCCTGGCGGAGAAGACACTAGGATGGCTGGAGCCCAGTGAGGAAGGTGAGGAATCTGAACTGAAATTGGCCGGCTGGGCCTGTATGTGTCCTGTGTTCCCGCCAGCAACACCCACCCACCCCCACCTAGCCCTCAGCTGGGGAAAGAGAAAGGTTCTGTCAGGAGAGAGAGAGCTGCCTCTGAATCCTGAGTTTGCCAGCTCTGTGGCCTTGGGCAAAGTGCTTTCCTTTTCTGAGCCTCAGTTTCTCCATCTGTCAAATGGGCTAGTAATCCCTTTCCTGAATGGTTGTCATGAAGGCACCTGACAGGTTTTCCAAAACAGAGTGCTCACACCTGGAGGCATTCTCCTGGACCGTCCCTTGGACTCCCCAGAAGGGGCTTCGTTTTGCTTTGATGGTCAGCAGAAGACGATGCCAGCCACTGGTGTCTGCTGTCCACTGGGCCACCTCTGAAGACCAGCTGGGACGAGCCCTCACTGTCCCTTGAGCCCCAGCCTCCCTTCATCTCCCCATCAGTCTCCACGACTTGCCACATCCACTACCCTGAAGTTATGGGGCCTGTTCAACCCAAAGTGTGAAGGCCAGGTCCCCCATCTGCTGCCCCGGGGTCATGGGGTCATGGGGAAACCAGGCTTGCATAGCATCCTGCACCCATGGTGGGCAGCCGCTGTGCTCAAAGCCTCAGCGACTTCGGGACAAGGACCCCCTTCTCCGCAGGACATCAGGGGAACAGGCGCCCCAACCTCTGGCTGGCACGCACCCAGTCTGGACCCCCAGGCTCACCTCGGCAGCAGAGCAGGGAGAGAAAGGCTGCGAGCGCTCCCCAGCCACCAAAAGGGGCCATCGCGAGTGGCATCCGCAGGCTCACGGGGAGCATTGAGGACTGCCTGCAGAGAGGGCAGGGCGCCGGTCAGGGCAGCGGGGGTGGGGGGAGGACCTGCAGCTGCAGCCCGGAACCCCCAGCCTTCCCACGCTCATGACCGCATTTCCCCTCATTATCTCAGTGGTCTCCGGGAGGCCACACGGAAGGCCAGCTCCCAGGGCAACAGGTCTGCACGAAGTTGGGCAGAGGAAGCCAGGAGTCAGCTGATAAGCGGGACATACCTAGTCCTCCTGGCACGGTCCTATGTGGGGTGGGTGGGCACCCGAGGCTCATGTGCGTGAGATGTGTGTGCACACGGGACAGCGACCGCTACAAGCCCCAAATCTGGGGAGCCCCGAATCCCACAGGACACTTCATTGGTGTCAGCAAGGGAGGGACTTTCCAAGCTGGAAAGAGGGTTTGGGAGGCGATAGCTCGACATTCTCCCCTTCCTCTGCCCCTCCCCTCCGATTTCTGGTGATGCACACGGCCCCCTGCACTTTCCTGTCTCTAAGCTGAGTGTGACTTCACGTTACTAAGACAAGGAGGAAGGAGAAGAAACCAGCGTTTCACTGATGCCCATTCTCTGTTAGGGACTAAGTAAGGTTTAATACACTGTCTCATTATCACAGCAAATCTACCAATTTTGGTTGTGCATCTGAGGAAGTTCAGGGCTCAGGTGAGTTAATAACTTGCCTAAATCACAAAGATATTAGGTGATGGGACTGAGGTGAGAATTTAGGAATGAGGAGTGGCTGGTTGGAGAAATGGTGGCTGCCAGGGATTAAAGGGAGGGAGAAATGGACTGAAAGAGCAGAGAGGATTTCAGGTCAGAGAATCTACTGTTTGCTACTACAATGGTGCACAGGTGTCAGTACACACTTGTCCAAACCTAGAGAATGTACACACCAAGACTGAACCGTAATGTCAACGATGGTCTTTGGGTGATAATGACATGTCAATGCAGGTTCGTCAATCATAAGAAATGGACCACTCTGATGGGGGATGTTGATAACAGGAGAGGCTGTACATGTGTGGGCACAGGAGGTATGTGGGAAGTCTCCACTTCCCCTAAGTGTTGCTGTAAGCCTAAAACTGCTTTTTTTTTTTTTAAATTGAGATAGTGGAGGACAGAGGAGGCTGGTGTGCTATAGTCCATGGGGTTGAAAAGAGTCAACACGACTTACAGACTGGACAACAACAACAGAAAAATAGCTCAGACACACCACCTTGAAAGGCAACCTTCTGGGTTAGGATGCTTGTCAGCTATGGATTGTTGTTGAAAACACAGGCTTTTATGACTTCCCTGGCGGTCCAGTCGTTAAGTCTCTGCTTCCACACAGTGGGCAAGTGTTTGATCCCTGGTCATGGAACAAACATTCCATATGCATATTCCATATGCACGTGGCATGGCCAAAAATAAAGAAAATGCAGGTTTTTAAACTCAATTTTTAGCAGATTTAGAGGAAGTCATTTACTTGGTCATTTCTAAATTTTTATCTCAAATTACATTTTTAAAACACGTATTTATTTGGCTTCTCTGAGTCTTAGTTGTGGCATGTGAGATCTAGTTCCCTGACCAGGGATGGAATCCATGCCCCATGCATTGGGAGCTCGAAGTCTTAGTCACTGGACCACCAGGGAAGTTGCTCAGATTACACTTTAAAAATATTTAAACACAAAACCCAATTCTACATTGTTTATTAGACACATCTAATGAGTAAGATCATGGAATGGTTGACAGTCGAAGAGTGAAAAAAGATACACCAGGCAAAAGCTAACCAAAAGAAAAGCCAGGAAAGGTCTATTCATATCAAAGAAAAAGGAATTTTAAGACAAAAATATATATTAGGGATACAATGAGTACCTAGATTAAATGGTCAATTCATACGGAAATTATAATTGCTGTAAACTCGTAAGCACTTAGCTTGAAGGAACAACAAAGAGCAAAATTTCTTGCTATGATGATGGTTTTATCATCATCATAGCAAGAAATTTTATTTATTTATTTTTTTTCAGTTAGAGTCTTGTATTAGAGAAATTTACCAAGGTAACCCAGAACTAGATACAGGTATTTGGCCACAAACCCAACAATTGGATTGATTTTTAAAACAAGCATAGTATCAAGCCTATGATAGAAAAGCATTTGATTTATATGTAAAGGTCTAAGAAGTCAAGAAAACACTATAAACGATCATACGAATCAGGTCCAGCATCTTGAACAGGCTGTCTACCTCTGATGTGGTTGTCTTTTCATCCTGGTGTACTGTAGTTTCTCTTGTTTGAGCATCATTTTAAGGTGAGATCAGGTCAGTTGTCTTCTCTATAGACCAATCTAGTAGGGGCCTTTGGAAGTGGGAATTAATCTAAGAGTTAATTTTTCTTCAGTTTCATTGTGCATGAGCTAGTTAAGAGTACCTGATAAAAAGTCCTTCCATCCAGGTTGGAGACAGTCTCTTAAATTATGTCTTTTTCCAGTCCTGGTTGCAGGTCATGAGGCATCTGATCCTCGTCCAAAGATGGATTACTGAGATAAGCTTCAGAAACAAACTTTTACATTAATATCACATAACAGAATTGATCATAGACTTTTTATTTTGCTGAAACACTTATAGGATCTCAGACTGAACTTTTAATATAAAACAGGGCTGGGAAACACACCAAAGGCTTATCACAGATTTTGTCTAACAAATCTAAGTGAACTCTTTTTTTTTTTTAAGGTCTCAAAAATTCTTTGAGATTTTTGTACCTGTTAGTGAGATAACCTTTTTAGCTCATTTGATAAACTTATTGGAAACTTAAGAGTTTCAAATTTCTGGAGGAGTCAGATAGAGAGAAAATATAATTGTTTTGTTTATAACGTGTAATTTTACCAACTTATTTTATAATTAGTTTAAGAGGAAAGTTTTCTCTACTCCTGGAAAACACACGATTTAAACCTGTAATTTCTCAGATAGAAACCATAAAAGTTATAAGCATATTCACTGGTTCATTCAGTCCTTTGTTAACTTTTGTGAAGTCATCAGGTTTTTTTTATCATAATACCAAGACATATCAAAATGTTAAGAACTCTATATAATCTCTAGGATATCTGTATTAGTAATTTTTCATACATTATAACATGAGCGGATTTATTACTCATTTGATAATCTTTTTTATGTGATTTAACCAACCAAATAAACAGTTTAATATTTCTCTTTGGGATGGTTCAGGGGCCCTCTGAAACACCCCAAAGTTAGCTAGATGTCAAAGGAACTTCAAAAGAATTCGATTCAGGAAGTTTTATTGAAAAGATCAATTAAAAGCTTAAGAATATTTGGTCAGATTTAGTCAATGTTGGTGGGTGTATCATTTAGCTTGTTGATATGTCACAATGGGCGCAAATACCAAGGCTCAAGGTCTAGTGAAAGTCAGCTCCGCCACCTTGGACCTAATTGGCTCTAACCAGTTTTCTTATGACGTGTCATTCTTAACAAAATCCATTTATCTAACTAATTGTAATCCAATTTTAGAAAATCCTGATCATGCATAACTCTTTTTAGTATTTTTCATACTTTTTTTTTACTGAAAGCACACTTTTTCTTTCTTAAAACATTTTAGGATGGCATCAAACATTATTCATTTATAGTCCCAAATCTCTTTAGTTTTTCTGTAAAAGGAAATCAGTGTTTAGTAGTAAATGTTTCAAAATCTTATTTTATTTGGAAATGACCTAATTATTTAATAGACTTTCAATACTTAGTTTAGCACAACCCTTAGAAATTCCAGTTACACCAATCTGGAGAGGCTATTTTAAACAGATATTCTTAAAGAATAATTATTTTTAATAGAGTTTATATACAAACTCATACCTCATTTATACCTTTTAGAACTTTTTTTCTCGAGGTAATTTCTTTGTCTACAAACCTGTAACAGGCATAATATTTAACTTATATTAAACCTAGGTACAATGAAAATACTTTACTTGATGTTAATTACTCTAAGACATGTCTATATTAGATAGGTCAACAAACAAACATTAATATCAGGTATTTAATACTGAATATTTCCCAGTTGACCTGAACCTGGAATTTATTGTTTAATTTAGAATTATTTGATTTGTAAGTGCTTACCCCTTCTTAAGCCAATTAAATAGAGCTCATTTACAAATTAACCTAAAAATATTTTCTAGAGATAAAGACATACCAAAACATATTTAGACAGACACTGTGCAAGATCTATCTTCATTTTCTAAGTTTGGTCATGAATTTAGATATTACAATATAAAATTTAAATAAATAACATTTTTAAAGATTTCAAAAGGAGGAGGACCAGAGACAACGCCGGCATACACAAATACACAAACACGGAGAGCCGAAGGCAGACACACAGACAGACAAACGTCGGCTGATAACATAGCGCTGGGTTTCGGGCCCCCTGAATTCTCTTGCCTCCCGGTAGCAGGTTCACCTTACCGAAGGGCGTCCACTGTTCACCAGACTTGGGGTAACTTTTTTCCCACAGAATCGGCTGCCTCCCAGCGCGTCCGCTGGCCTCGGCCTTACGCCGGCTGGAACGTTTAATCCGTTCCCCCCTTTATACAAAGCCTTTCCGCAGAGTCGGCTGCCTCCCAGCGCGTCCGCTGGCCTCGGCCTTACGCCGGCTGGAACGTTTAATCCGTTCCCCCCTTTATCCTTTCCGCAGAGTCGGCTGCCTCCCAGCGCGTCCGCTGGCCTCGGCCTTACGCCGGCTCGCTCCCCTTTATAGGAAGCTTTTTTTCTGCACCAGATACCTTCCTGCTTTCCAGCAGGGCCTCGGATTTACATTGGACTTTCCTGTTCTGCCTGATCACCGGTGTTTTTATCTATCCTTCCCCTCTGTCCTGGAAGTGTTCTCTTTCCCTGGTCAAGGGATCCCGGACGAGCCCCCAGATGTTATGCCCAATGTCGGAATCCCCGAGCGGGAAGAGAGAAGGCTTCCAAGACAATGCAACTCGCAAAAAAGGGAAGTTTATTACTGACTCGAATCAGGGCTCCTGCCGCGCGTCCAACACAGTGGTACGGGGTCAGAGAGCCACAAGAAATTTTAATACAACATCTCTCTATTATGAATAATGAAGCAAATGTGAAAAGATGCTCAACATCATTAATCATCATGGAAAGTCACATCAAAGCCACAATGAGATATCACTGCACCACTGTCAGAATGGTTATCATCAAAGACAACAAATAAAAACTTTGGCAAGGGTGTGGAGAAAAGGGAGCCCTCGTGTACTCTGGTGGGATTGTAAACTGGTGAGAATGCTGTGGAGAAAAGTAGGGAGGTGCCTCAAAAAAATTAAAAATAGAACTGCCGTATGATCCAGCAATTTCACTTCTGGTATTCTCCTGAAGAAAACAAAGGCGCTAATTCGACAACATGTATGGACACCAATGTCCACTGTGGCATCATTTCCAATAGCCAACATGTGACAGCCACCTGCATGTTCATCCATAGATGCATGAATAAAGATGTGGTTGGTATAACTACACAATGGACTATTATTCAGCCATAAAGAATGAAATCTTGCCATTTTCGACAACACGGACAGACCTAGAGGCTATTATGCCAAGTGCAATGACTCAGACAGAGAAAGACAAATACCATATGATCTCACATATATGCAGAATCTGAAAAACAAAAGAAACAAAACCAAAAACGGGCTCCTAGGTATAGAGAACAAATCAGTGGTTGCTGGAGGCAAAGGGGCCGGGTAGGATCCAAAACAGATGAATGGGATTAAGAGGTACAAAGCGCCAATTACAAAGTGAATCACAGGCATGAAATACAGCATAAGCAATATGGTCAGTAATATTGTAATAACTTTGCAGGGAAACAGGTGGATACTAGACTTATTGTGGTGATAATTGCATAATGTATGCAAATGCCAAACCACTGTGTAGAACACCTGAAGACTACATAATACTGTATATTATAAGCCAACCTAAAAATTTTAAATAATGTATCTTGCAATTCACAAAAGAAGACTATAGAGATTCATAGAAACAGGAAGTAGAGTGGTGGTTGCCAGGGCCTGGGGGCAGCGGGAAACGGTGAGTTATTTGTTTAATGGGTATAGACTTTCAGTTTTGTAAGATAAAAAAGTTTTGAGAGCCATTGGAAAAAAAATATGAATGTAAAACAACCAAATGTAAATTCAAAAACAGTTAAGTGGTGAATTTTATGTTATGTGTATTTTACCATAATTGAAAATTTAATTAACACAACATTGTAAATCTTCAATAAGCTTAAAAATTTTAAACTTACAAAAAGTAAAATCTTATAAATCATTTATGCCAAGGAATATGAAACCAAGTAGACCAAATCTTAGAAAAAGTAGAACTTACCTAACTTGATTGAAGAAGAAATAAAAAGCCTGAATAGTTCTACAACTATTAAAGAAATTACATCCATAATTTGAAATCTTCCCACAAAGAAAATGCCAAGTCTAGATGGTGTTACAGAAGTGTAAGTAGGGATAATCCTAATCTTACAAAACTCTTTCTGAGAATGAAAATAGCAGGAACACACCCTCTTCTTATGAGGTCAGTGTATCCTTAATACCAAAGTGAGACAAGAATAGGATGAAATAGAAAAATTAGAAGCCAATGTCACTCATGAATACAAATGCAAATAAGAAAAGACAAACAGACCAAATCTAGCAGTGTATTAAAAATATTAGATATCATATCTAAGTTAAGCTTAGCTATGAAAAGTTGGTTGCACGATAGAAAAGAAAGCTTGCAAATGGCATTTATTATTGTTGGGAATAGTAAACTTTGGTGCTTTATGTCACATTGCTTCCGCCCTCCTCTGAAATTAGCTGCATTTACAGCAGATAATTTCCTGCAACCTGAGACTCATTTTATGTTCCATGACCCACCTCAAGTTTATACCATATTTCTTTTTTGCTTTTTTGCCTCAGGGTCTTCAATGCTTTAGGAGTCGCTTAGCTACTTGCTGCTGCTGCTGCTGCTGCTGCTGCTAAGTCACTTCAGTCGTGTCCGACTCTGTGCAACCCCATAGACGGCAGCCCACCAGGCTCCCCCTTCCCCGGGAATCTCCAGGCAATGTTTCCCAGAAGACTAGGAGTTTCAAGTTTCCTAACATGAAACCCTCAACCAACTATAGGCCAAGAGCTAGTAGAAATATGCTCCAGCCTCTTTCTTTTGGGGAGGCAATTCTAGCCAGCATCCTGTAGACTTACCAGAGATTCTGAAAGGCTTGAACTCCCTTTGCTGACACCTGCAGCATCAGTTATGCATCTTCTATTGGCTTTCTCTCCCCTGTTTCAGTCTTCTTATTCCTTCACTCCCTACTTCCTGGCCTCAATAATTCAGTAATCTACCTGAAATAATCTACCTGAACTGAAGTCCTTGTTGCAGGCTCTTACTTGAAGGAGCCCAGGCTAAAAACTTAT